TCAACAAAGCCCATTAATCCCTCTGTGTCTCCAAACAGATATAATTTGTTTCTTACAATCCTTAGTGCAATGCTATCTCATAGGACTCTCTGTGATGTGGAAGTGAGTTGTGTCCATACCATTCAATATAGTTGTCACTGACATTGTGTAAGCACTGAGCATTTGAATATGGCTGGGAGTCTATGGCCCTACCACCCTGAAAGCATCCGATCTCGTCTGAATATGGCTGAGAATTGAATTTTAAATTTAATTCAATTTCAATTAACTTGTTTAAATACCAAAGCGAGCAGTGCCTATTGCTTTAGATTGTGCAATTTTAGCAAGATGTTTTAGTGTGGACACTAAGATAGCCACTCAAGTTTGCCTTTATCCCAGCTCTCCTAATATTAGCTGTGAGACCTTGGACTGATTATTTCATCCATGTATTGGTCAGCTTTCCATCACTGAGATAAAATACTTGACATAAATCAGCTTCAACTAGGAAAAGCTTATTTTGGCTCATGGTTTCAGAGGCTCAGTCTGTGACTGGCTGACTCCAAGGCTGAAATAGAATGGCTGAAGGACATAGCAGGGGAAATCTGCTCTAATCATGGCCTCTGGGCAGGAAAGAACAGGAGAAGAGCTAGGGAGGAAGGGGCTTGGAACCAGGCATATCCTTCAAAGGCTGCTCCCACTAACCTACTTTTTCCACATAGGCCCCACTCCTAATAGCCCATTCAGCTATGAACTCGTCAATGGACAGATCCACTGATGAGGTCAGCATTCTCATTATCCAGATGCCTCTGTGGACCCCATTTCTAAACACTCACGCACTATGGATCAAGCCCTCAGTATGTGATTCTTTGGGGACACTTCTTATTTAAACATGACAACCCACCCTCACTGATTCACTCACGATCTCCTGGACCAAATCCAAACTCATCACCAGAGTAAAAGAAAATTCACAGTGGAGAAACAGTCCCTTCTCACCTTCCTCTCTTTCCAAGCCCCACTTTCAACACACTCCTTGGACAGAAAATATCCCTGGATGCTTTCAGACCTCCCCTGAAGCTTTTCTAAGAAATACCAGAAAACCATGGGATGCTCAACATGCATTTTTTAAAAAGGGCTCTATATATCAAGTATGAACCCAAGTAGACTCCCCAACAGAGATCTCTATCTCCCCTGCCTCTCCCACTCACCCTCTCCCTCTCCTTCTTCTATATGAAAGGACTGCTTCTTTGTAAGTTAAACTCCAGCACTCTCCATTACACACCCACCAGAAAAAGCACTCCCTGTTGGTGATACACTCACAGGACAGGCAGAGAGAAAGGTGAAGAATCAAGATAAAAATAGGTGATCTCACCAACAGCTGTTTATTCAATTTATGTAAAGCAGGCTTCCTGCCCAAAGTTCTCTGGGCACCTACACAAAATCCAAATGCAGCAATGAAAATGAATTCTCCCGAACAAGCAAAAATACAACACTCCCTCCCCAGAGTTGTTTCCAAGGGAAGAATGTTGGTTACGAGGAGTCTAGGAATCTGGTCAAGTCCCTGGAGGCTTTGCTGAGAAGACTTTGTTCTATTTGTTCCTACTGCAGCTTGAAAGTCAGAGAGTCTCAATTCTACAATTTATCAGCTCGGTGGACAAAGTAAACCTCTTCTCTTCCCTGTTCCTCTGCCTCTGTGCTCAACAGAGTTTCTATCAAAGCTCTGAATATTACAGCCAATTGGCGTTCTCCGAGGAATCTGAGAATGTCAACGGTGACAGGTTTTATCTGGATGGCATTTGGCTTGCATCATTTCATGGATCCTCACAAAAACCACAACTGATTGTGTTGCTTTTCAATGGTTTGATTTATCTCAGATATATATACATGGATTTTTAGATCTACTTACTGTGTTCATTTAACTTATTGCAGATTACTTCAGAGCATGGCTCTGGAAATTTTTACTAATGGGCATTTATTACAGTTTTAGGTTACCACGTCGTTTACGTTTTTCTTTGCGCACGCACACAAACCTTCTCTAGGGAGATGAACAGCGGCAGCATCGCTACAGGTTAGGGACTTCAAGTCCAAAATATTAAGGGAAGCCGGAAGGTGGCGCTGCATCCATCTAGCCTCACCAGTTTACATCTTTACCACTGAAGGTAGAGCCACTCACCATTTCCTCACAAATGTTGGATGTGATCAACATTTTGCGTTTACTAGTAGATTTCTACTTTGGATATCTTGTGTTACTGGTCTCATTTTTTACTGCTATGTAAATAAGCACACTTCATATTGTGAGTTGCTTAGCAATGCCCTCAACCCATCTCTCACGGAATTCTTGGTGTTCTTAGTGACTTGGGGATGATTTTTATATTCTATTAACCTTTTATTATAAAAGCCGCGAATATTTTCTCCCATATTCTTGCCTTTAAAAAAAAAAAGTTGCTCACAGTGCCTTGTGTTTCTATTTCTCTTTTGGTGTTAGGGATACAACCAGGGTCTTGCATGTGCTAGGCAAGCACTCTACCACTGAGCTACACCCTCTGCCTTTACAGTTTATTTTTCATATAAAACTTTTTGAGGAACTCAAAAATAATCTTTTTAATAATCTTTTTCCTCATGAACTTTTCACCTTATATATAAGAAATTCTTCTATATTTGAAGTTATTCACCTACTGTACAGTCATAGGTAACATTTCATATTTATTTATCTTTTTAGTTCATCTGGACTTGTTTTTGTGAATGGTATATTGTTGTGTTGCTGTTGATTTTTGCCCTGGCTCTGACTCTTTCCTTCAGTCTACATTAGTTCACCAAGTAATTGTTCTCAGAATTCCACTCTAGGTGGGAGGAGAGCAAACATATGAAGAAAACTATGTACAAGGTAGGAGGAACTCTATTCCCAAGAACTGGTACAGGTGAACTTTAAAAAAGGTAATTTAGAAGAGCTCTTAAAAGATGGCACTCAAATGGCAAGGAGATTCAGAGGTTGTATAATTATATTAGAAAGTATGTTACAGCCTAAAGCAGGAAGGCTGATTACAGATGTTGGCATCCTAGGACCTATAATCCAAGCCTGGCCACTCCCAGTGTTTGTAACATGTCAGCTAAGAATGGTTGCCATGCATTTAAATAGTTGAAAAAAATCAAAACAAGGATAGTAACCTATGAAATTTAAACATTCTATGAAAAAAATTTCAGTGTCTATCACAGTAACTTTCTTCATCCCTAAGACACAAGACATGATACCTACAACTTAAGGAAAGAAAGGTTTATTTTGGTTCACATTCTGAAAGGTTTCAGCCCATAGTCAGGCGGCTTAAGGAAGGACAGCATGGAATACTAGAGGAAAAGCTGCTCTTAGTATGCTACTGAGAAGGGGGATGAAACTTGGATCATGCCCACAGTGACTCACCATTTTCACCAGCCCAACCTCATCAGTCAAGTCAGCTATAATCCGCCCATAATCCAGCCACATTCCAAGGTCACACCCGAGGCTTTACAGAGGCACCTAGATATAACTCATAACAATACCCACACATAAAAGCTTATCGGAGCACAACCACACCCATTTGTACACTGTGACTGCTCTGTGCTACAGTGGCAGAATCCAGTGCTGGGACAGAAACCAAATGGTCCAGAAAGCTGGGAAGAGTTCCTCTCTGGAACCTTACAGAAAGGTTCCCCGGCCCTGATGTGGACGTGTGGATGAGAGGATGAGCAGTCTGACTCTCAAAGGTAGACAACACACTAGGGAGCCTCAGGAAAGGTGTGTGAGAGAAAGAGGACTCTGCTGGGAGGGGAGCAGCTTTGCAGGAAACACAGAAGGGAGCAGGGAGGTGGATGTGAAGCAACCCAGGCCTCAAGGAATGAGCTTTCAAATCCCACTCCAACAGGAGGGATCTGGCCCTTTATCAAGGCTGGCTGTGGGCCAGTACAGTTCTGGGCTCTGAAACACCTTATGTGAGTGGAATGGCAGAGCCTGGCAGGACTCTGCACAAAGGCTCGGGATACAGCATCAGATTTCAGGGCTGCCTGTCCCACAGACTGATGGTCCAAACAACAGAAATGTTTATTACACAGTTCTGGAGGCTGGAAGCCTGGGTCAAGGTGTGAGCAGGGCTGATCTTTCTTTGAAAGAGCTAGAGAAGACTCTGTCCCAGCCTCTCTCCTCATTCTGAGTAATTGCTTGGTCTGTGGCAGCCTAATTCCAGGCTTCACGTGGGCACTCACCATGTGGGTGTCTCTGTGTCCGAATTTCCCCTTTCTGTAAGGATACCAGCCATATTGAATTAGGGCCCCTCCCTGCTCCAGTGTGACCTGCTTTTAACTCAACCAATTACACCTGCAGTGTGACCCTATTCTCTGAATAAGATCACACTCTGAGCTACTAGGGATCAGGGCTTCATGTTTGCATTGTTGAAGGGTACAATTGAACGCCTGACAGAGTGACAGAACATGGTGTTCAGGGACTTCCTCCCCTGCTCCTGCAACTGCCCCTGCCCTTAGGGTGGAGGAAGCTTCCATCCAAGCTGCTTCTGTCCAAATCTGGCTGCCCTCACTGGGCCTCTCACGCAGCCCTCCTGTAGCAGAGGAGTTGTTCCTTTGTTGGATCAGTGCCTGCTCCTTCACCCCTGTCCACCGCTGAGTGTCCACTGTGGTTGTGATCATGGGCACAGCCCTCCCTTGTCTGCCAGAATTTCTGGCTCCTGTCCCTGTGGGAACCACAGCCGAGCCCAGCTCACAGCACACCGCCTTGGTCCAGCTCCTGATCCCTGTAGCTGCCCGGGAGAGGCAGGCCAGGGACCCTACAGACCCAGCCACATGCGGCCTTCCTACCATGGGCAGCAGCACGGGTTCTGTATTCAGGGAAAGACCTGGTGGAGGAGAATGTGTGACTTACCAAACTATAAAACTACAGATGATCAGAGACCACCGAGAACATAGTGAGCATCAATGAGAAGCCAAAACAAAAACAGACATTTTAAAAGCAGTGTTTACTTTATTACATTTATTTTGCACAGTAAAAGAACATGAAATGCAGACTTGTCTAAATTCTCTTGCTGATTCTCTTGAAGACAATGTCTCCCACTGTCATGGTCTGAAAGCCAGAAAAGAAACCATTAAATGCTCACTGATGTGAAATCATTAAAAACAAATAATTAAGACCCCCCCCAAATAGCTGCAAATATGGTAACACATGAAACAACAGAACGAATCATCTGTTTCTTATAGGACCAGAGAAGGGCTAGAAATCTCTTCTGAAATCCTATGCCAAGTCTCTGCCACTTTGCTTTCTTCTGTGCAGAGTTGTGCTGCCATTTGCTGACTTCTTTTCTACACGAATGGGTGTGACAGGGGCATCACCCAACTTGCCCCGTCCAGTCCAGTTTCTCTAAGCCTTACTGAGCACCTGCTATGTGTAATACCATGTTGAGCGCCAAGAACACCTGTGCGCCTGGGACGTCATGGGCACTGCCTGGTTTTCCTCCTAAAGCTGTAAATGAAGAGGGTGAAAACACTGGGCACATCGGCTTTGGGGTCCTTGAGGGATGCTCCCTCCTCATTCTGGTTCTCTGGTGAACAAGACAGCTGGAGTGACACAGCCCGTCATCACAGTGACAAAGGAGCCCTTAGCTTGGAGCAGCTGCTCAGAGTAGACAGGGGCCTGGTTCTATCACTTGTCATCTGGATGACCTTGGATAGGTCGACCTGACTATGGAAATCTTTGACCCAACTCCCTCACAGGAGATGGGAGGATTAGGCAAGTTGGAGCTATCAGAGGATGTTGGCCAGGTCCCATCCCAAACATCTCATCTCCTGCTCTCCTGTCCTGCTGGGAAGGTGCTGGTGTGGGCACAGGGACTGTGCATTTCACAGTTGATGCTCATAGTATCACTGCCTGAGGGATGTTCCCACGTGAACCTCGTGGCCACAGCCTCCTTGGACTGCCTACTGCCTTCTGTGACTCCCTAAAGCAAACTTTGAGATCACAGGAAAGCAAGTGGGGGACAAGTGCAGGAGAAATTCTGCAGATCCCAGCCCAAATTGGGCTAGGATATGCTCAACACCAAGAACTGAAGTCTATCTGAAGTGAATTGGGGATTTCAATGGAGGATTATGGCAATGTATCCAACTGTTACATGTGTATATACATATATACATATATATATACACACACACACACACACACACACATATATATATATACATATATATTTTTTTTAAGTTTTATTTTTTTGGTACTGAGGATTGAACTCATGTCCTTGCGCTTGTGAGGCAGGTGGCAGCACCACTGAGCTAAATACCTGGCATGTAATATATTTTTAAAAAATGTAAACTTTTGCCAAATTATTAGAACACACGTAAGTGTACAAACCCACACCACTTGTGGTATGAGTTGCTTCTACTGGGAACAGTTGTGAATGGCAGCCCAGAGAGACTGACCCTGCTCAGAGGAACCCTGGCTTGGCCATTGCATAGCTGTTTGTTACCTCAGATACCTCAATTTCCCCTTTTGAAAACTGCTGTTGGGAACTTAGAGATGCTGTGTAAACTTCATGGCACAAAAGGGAAGCTCAGGAAAGTGGTAGGAGATACAGAAAGGTGGAGAATTTGGGGCTCAGGGGAGGAAAATGGGGCGAGGGGTGCAGCTCCTCCTCACCCTTCACCTCCCCCTCCCTGTCACAAGCCCAGAGCACCCACTTACACTGGTCAGTGTGTCCCCACTGAGTTCAGTCACAGATTTGGTATTTTTGAATGTTGCCACAAGCTTGTTGTCACCATCCAAGTTAACCAAGGCCTGTGAAGGAAAAAGAGAGGCCTGTGAGAAGAGTCTGTGGAGAGTGAGACCCTCTCTAATGGGTCGGTTTCCCTGCGCAGGTGTCAGTTTATGACACCTCTGGTCCCTGTGCTCCCAGACCTCAGTTCTGACAGAAGACAGGGGCACAGAAGACAGAAAGAAAACCTCAGGACATCGTCTGTCAGAGCTTCAGTCCATGCTGTGTGATCTAGAAAAGCACACAGGACACTGAGTGGTCCCCAGGACAAATGCTGAAACAGAAGCAATAAAGTCTCAGTTCTCCAAGCTAATGGAGGCGGCAGTGTCAGAATTCAGAACCCTGCACACACTTTGCTCTGGTCCGCCTGGGTCCTGCCGGAACATTCATGGTTCCTGTGTGGTCTCCTCTCCCAGCCTTGGACATCCAGAGGAGCAAACACAGAAACCCAACCAGGAGAGGAGGACACTGCCAAGGTAAAACATCTCCCTCCACGTGGACACCTGGAAAAGGCCCATGGTAGAACCCACAGCGGCCGCCCCTTCCCCTGGGCACAGCCAAGAAAGTCCTGGCATTTGCCTCAGTCTCTGATGTTGTCCCCGGAGAGGCAGAAATAAAGAGCGATGGGAAGCAGTGAGGAGAGAGCTTGCTGAGCCCAATGCAGAGTCATCTGGGGAGCGGGAAGATGGCTGCTGGGTGGTGCTGGCTACGCTGGGGTGTGCAGTGTGTCACGGGGAGGAGCGGTGGTCAGGTCCTGGGTGCCCCGGAGCCCCAGACCTGTGAGGATGGAGCCGCCCTGCCCTCTGCCCTCATTCAGCAGACTGATTTCTCCTCTGCACAGATGAGGTAGCCCAGGCCATCAGTTTAATGACCCCCCCAAAGGTTTGTTCTGAGTGCGTGCCTGGGCCTTGAGGTTGTGGTGTTGCCAGCCCCTCTTCCAAGACATCTGCCTCTGTCACCACCTTCTGCAACACCCAGTCTATCACCTCATCCCTGAGCAGTAGGTTAGACAGTGTTACTGATTTTCTATGATGCCCACAGGCCCCAATCCTGGGCCCTGCTACGGATGCTTGAGAGCCAGTAGCCCAGACCTAAAGGAACCTGTGAGTTGGAATCCTGCTTTGTTCCTGGTTCCCTCTATGTGCTCCATATAAAAGACTTCAAGTTTGGAGGTCCCATCACCCCCAGGCAGGAAATGGGAAAATAAGAATAGCTTTCCTGCTTCTCCCACTCAAGATGTAGGCTTACAGATGGGGTATCAGGAATGAGAAATGAGGCAAGGGAACCTTGAGGCCTGAAGTCTTGAGCCAGGCTCCAGGGAAAGTTCTGGAAGCAGAGCATAAAATGAGGGGCGTCTCCTACCTTGACTTTCTCTCCGGTAATGGTCTCCATCTCACTCTCCTCACCCAGGGTGAACTCATGCTTGTTTACTCTGGTCCCAATGGTCATCGTGATCTTGAAGTGCTTTCCATTCTGCACAATTTCTGTCGACCCCTTAAGGCCCTTCCCCTTCTGGATGAGGTCATCAGGTATCCCTGGCGGAAACAATCCAAGGTTTAGAGACAGCAGGGTTTGGGGTTGCAAGGCTGAGGCGAACAAGGTCAACTGTGACATGGACAGGCAGAGGCCACAGACAGTGGGGACCTGTGAGCAGCAAGGGCTCTAGCCTCGGATAGGGAAAAAGGGGGCTGCTGCAACCTTGAATCTTTCTTTTCCCTATGAATGCTCTGTTTTTCGCTCTTTCTCCTCTTGCTCTCCTTCCTCCTACAGCATGTCACACTCCACACCATCAGAACCCTCATTCTTCCACAGTGGATCACTCCTTAGGTGACAGGAGGAGCTACTAATAATTAGACCAATACATCAAAAAAAAAATGGGTTTGCCGGGGAGGGCAGGGACAAGGGGAAAAAACGAGAACCAAGACCTGTCACGTAAAGGTACAAGACCCCAGTGTGAATGTAACTGTACTGTATACCTAAAATGTACCAATAAACTCAATGAGAGAGAAAAAAAATGGGTTTGTCGGGCAGGTCTGGACACTTTAGGAGGCTCCTGAGGTGTCCTGAAAGCAGGGGTGGCAGGCCTGCTGAACAGGTAAGAACTGGGTACACAGAGGCGGGCTGATTGGGCTACTAGAAGACCTGGGCTCTCGGGCACACCCAAAGGTCCTCCTTCCCTTCCCTTGCTGTTTTGTGCTCTTCTCCCTCTCCACACCCTCCTCGCCCATTGTACCCTCTGCTCACAGGGCTCCCTCTGCCTGGGCCACCGTCCCCTCTCCCGCCCCCCAGTGGCCACTGCTCCTCTTCCCAGGCTCCCCTTCACCACCACCACCACTCTTTGTCCCCTTCACACCCTGCATTCTAGGAGGAAGGGGGTTAAAGTGAGGTCTCTGCAAAGCAGGGCCTACTGCAAAGTTACCAACTCAGAGGTTTTGGTGAGGATTGAATGGGACGTTGCACAGAAATGTTGAGCCAAACGCCTGGTACAGAGCCACGCCTCCTACATCATAGGGGTTACTTTGTTACATTAACTTCTTTTCTTCTCTGTCTAAAGTGTGACCTTGGAAATGTGGCTCTTCCTTGTGTATCTCAGTGCTATGTGTTCAGCTCAGTGCTTGATGTGTGGTTGGTATTTGTTAGAAGAATGAATGAAGGAATGCATGCATATGAATGAGTGAACAGGGTCTCACAGTGAAGTACCAGTGTACGTGGGCTTTGATCCAGATCCCACCCTAGTTCAGTGCTCTTTCCACTTGCCTCTTGGTGGCCTTGTCCAGTGCGTATTGCCCACGTGGCAAGAGATCACCAAAGTCAGTAAAATGATTCCCAATTTGATGTAACTTGAGCATCTCCTCTGACCAACTTGCCTGACTTGACCCTGTCTGTAGGGACAGACCTTCCCTGCTGTAACTGTGCCCTTGGTGGCCTGTCCAGTACTCACCCATTGCCTTCATGAAGGGCTCGAAGTTCTCCTCACTCTGCAGTTGGTACTTGCCGGAAAAGTTCATGGTGGCGATGGGGCTCCTCTCCACAGCTGGCCACAGCTCTGCAGACTGTAATGGCCACAGGTGGCAGTTTTATAGGGGGGCTTCTTCCTCTCCAAATATGGACCAGAGGTTGATTGCTATAATTTCTTTATGACCAGGTTAAAACATTAACTTCTGAGAATAATGCCTAACAATATAAAACAGGATGGGCCCAGCAGAGGTTTCCTCACATTCAGCAAACATTAATGAACAGCTATGAAGTGCACAGCCCAGGGCCCTCTAGCATTTAAGGTAAAATCCCATCCCCCATGACCTCAGTGTGTGTGTGTGTGTGTGTGTGTGTGTGTATATGAAATGTGTATGTATGCACATTATACACATACAAAGTGAGAACAAAATACACAGTTTATGTTCTTTTATTAGTACATGTTTCCCTAACATTAACCCACCTGCAAATAGCCCCCTCACTTCATGCACACTTATTTCTCCATTCCTTACTTTCTGAAGCAGTTCTGAAATTCTTTTGTGAGCACCTTCATGAGTTGTAATTTTTAAAAAAACCTGTATTCTGCTGCTGAGTGCCATTCAACAAAAGGCAGGCTCATGAAAACATTGCGGTTTGTCCTCGTACACCTTATTCCCTGGATCTGCTTCTGTGTAACCTCTGGCTCTTCTCCAAAGTTCAAATGACCATGAAAGGAGGATGATTGGAACCAATGGAAGACATCAAGGCAGCCATGATAATGCACAAAGGAGGATTTTCAAAACTGCTTCAGAAAGAGGCAAGGATAGTAGGGTAAGTGTGTTGCATAAAGTGAGAGTATTTTGAGGAGGCTTAATGGCAATGTAGCTTTTCTTAAAATAAACTTTAAAAAAATAGACATTCGGGGCAGTCCTATAATCTCAGCACTCGAGAAACTGAGACAGGAGGATCACCCCAAGTTTGAGGCCTGCCTGGGCTACACAGTGAGTTCAAGGCTGGCCTGAACTACACAGTGAGACCCTGTCTCAAAAAACAAACACCAAGAAAATTACCCTATATTTTCTAATTCATGTATGTGCATAAATAGGGACACAGACATACAGTATGCATAATTATGTGTGGGTATGCATATAGAAATATATGTACATGTATGCAGGCACGTATATCTGTGTGTGTTTGTGCATGTGGTTGAACATGTGGACATACATTTATACATATTGTACATGTGCCTGTGTGTATAACATAGAAACATTTTGGCACACAAAACTTTACCTGGTTTATGTAGCCTTAGGATCATTTTCTGCACTTACTTTACACACATTTAATTTTTGCAGACTTTAAATCTCAGCCCTAGTGCTGTTCTCTATTCAGGGAACTCCTCTTTGATTGCATCAGTAACTCCACAGCTCCAAGCTGTCCCTCTTCTGAAGTACAAAGTCCACACACACTTCAGGGCAGGTACAGAACGTGTAAGCCAGGTGTGTGGAAATTGAGAGGCATTTTATAGGCAAGGACAAGGTAAGGAAGAGAAAGGGGCAGCATCTCTATCCCTGCCTAGGACGCAGGGGCAGGGACTTGTGGGGACATGTGGGGAACCTGGCCTTGCGGAGCCCCCTGACTGGCACTGACCTTGGACAGACCACCTAGAAATGCTTCCCATGACCTCGGGGTGCTCCTGTCACGAAGCTCAGAGGTGATGGCACCCAGGGGATCTACACCCCCACTTCCTACCTCTGAGGCAGCTCTAGACAAGCACCCTCACCCCTATTTGCCTCCCTCCTCTCTCTGGACCTTGGCCTCGGCCTCTTCACCTGCAGCCTCCAGTCCCCCATGCTGCAGGCCTCTCTGTGCTGTGGTTGGATGGATCGTCCTCCAGCACAGCCTGGGTGCCTCAGCCCTGGGTATGAGCCTCTGCCTCTGCTGGATCCCATTGCTCCTGAGGCCACAGGTCTGAATACTCCGGAGGACCCTGGTATCCTGGGTCCTGGCCTCGATGGCCACTCCCAAAAAAGGCTCTCTCCCTTTGCTGCCATGAGCTCCAATTTGGGGCTTGGTAAATAATTGCCATCGCCTGAACTTCCAGCAGGCTGCCAGCTCGAGTTTAACTCTCCACCCGTGTCCTTCTTTCTGTGCAGGTCACAGTCACAGGGCCAGCCGTACGCATCAGGGGCTTCCATGCCTCTGTGTCTGTGTCCACGTCACTCCCTCTGCCATTCTTCCCTTTCTCTTCCTCTGTGAATCCTCTGAGCGCACTTCACAGATGCCCCATTCCGGCCGCACTGGGATGATTTTTCCATGTGCCCTTTGTCACTGTCCACTTTCCTTGGTATCCAGTATGGAGCAGGAGTTCAGTCTGTGAGATAAAGTTTGGCAAGAGATAATGAGGTCAAGAGTCTTCTGGTTGAGGAAAAATGAGAGATAAAGAAGTAGTCGGGTCAGCACTCCACCCTCAGGCGACCGAATGACGAGCTGGGCAGCAAGGGTGTGGGTGTGGGTGTGCATACATGTGTGCACTTGTGCGTGTATGTGTCTCACTGGGCTGCAGCTTGGCTGAGAATGCAGTGGGAGAGGATGTGATCCAGGCCTGAAAGCCAGCTCCCCTCCCCCCAGCCCTCTACTCTTTCTCCTTCCTCTGCTGCTGCCCTCTGCCATGCCAGCCTCTGCCTGGTAAATGGCATGAGATACCACACCGAGCTTTCTCTGTCCTTGGCCAGTTCTCTCCTCTGCCTGGGTCCCTATTTGCAGTATAACCACTAAGGTGATTATGTGCACATCTTGCTCAGTCTCTTGCTCTGCACCTAGGAACTCGCTGGGCTGGTCGAATATCTGCTCCCAAAGCCTGAGGCCTCCAGTTCTGGGGGCAAGAAGAGAGGGAAATGTGCGCAGGTGAGAGCTGTGTCAGAGGGCACACAAGCCCCAGAATAGAAGCACGAGAAACAGGGCCCAACACAGACTCTGGCCTGTAATAGAGCGGTGCTCTGTCCCCTGACTCCACACAAGACCCCCCACATTCTCCAGAATTCACACTGCTGATTGGCTAAGCACTCCAGATGTCATTCATGCACCTACATGTCTAGGGCCAGGACCTGTGTCCAGCATCCCTGACACGTGGCATTCTCATGTGCACTCTGCCATGGGGAGGTCACTGCTTTTGGAAGGATAAGAACAGAGATGCTAGTTGAGTGTGCTGCTTCATGGACCCTGGCACTAGTAAACATGTCCCTCGGGCATAGTGGGACACTCTGCTCTGCCCTCCCTGTTCAGCCCTCTTCTGAGTGTCAGGGACACAGTGTGTCTCCCAGGCCACAGGTCAATTTGGGGCTATCCCTGGTCAAGCGTATGCTGAGGACTCCTAGTCCTCTTGGCTCTACAACAGCCTCAGATGAGGAGTGGGAAAATTGGCTCAAAGGATGATATATATTATCCCCTCTTAGCTCCTCTCTTAGCTCATTCTGGGCTGTGACTGTGTAGCTTTTAATGTGACTCACTGTCCTGAGGAGACCCATGTAGACCCTGGTCTCCATGTGGAAGAGTGATTTTTATTTTCCTATATGTAAGGAAGCAAAAAATCCATTATTTTAAGAAGTGGCATGAGAATTCTCCTGGGAGAGGAACTCTGTGTGTGTGTGTGTGTGTGTGTGTGTGTGTACAGATGACTGGATATAAATAAGCTGGGTGAGATGGTAAGTGAGCCCCCATGTCTGTGTGTCAGCAAGAGCCATGCTTGCCAAGGCAAAAGCTGTCCTATTCACAAGAGACCAGGAAGGCCAAGGTGCTTTCCTCTCAGAGAGGAAGAAGAGAGGAGAGGTTGTCAGTAAGAGGATTTGGGGCAAGGAGCCACTAAGAGACCCACAGTGACCACGAGAGTTTTCCAGGAGGGAGAGTATGGAATTTGAAGCTGCTCGCTTGCTGCAAAGTGAATTACCATCCATCTTTCTTTACTTCCCTTCCCTATCACCTCCAAAGGTTTGGCAGGGTGTAGTGCAGGGATTGTTATGCCTGCAGGTGAAAAATGATGGATGATTTAGTCTCAATTTTAGACTGATGTGATGGAGCTGAAACAGCTTTCCTAAAGGCAGTTTCAAGAACCAAATGTCCATGGGGATGTCTTCCTGTTGTGGTTTATATCTAACATGACCCCCGCCCCCAAGTCTTGTGCACTCATAGTTGGGGCTTTTGGGAGATAACTGAATTATAGGTGTGTGATACAGGATTAGTCCACTGATGGGTTTACAGTTGGGCAAGATGTTGGGAGGTGAAGCCTGGTGGAAGAGGTGGATCATAACCTGGAAAAGAGAGAAGAAATATGAATTAGGGCAAGAACAGGATCATGCCTGTGGACATAGCCTGGAAGGAGGTACTTCCTCTACTATAAGTTCAGGATGTCCAGGTGGTTGATTATCAGACTTTTCCACCTCGTTTTCTTCAGAATTTGCCTTTGGTGAGCTGGTGGTCTAGGTTTATGCCTTGCTTGAATGTCTTCTCATTTCTATTTTTGTTGCTGGTACTGTCCTTGGTTTAATTCCTGGGCTGATACTTCTATGTTGCTTATTGTAAGTGTCATTGCTGCTTGTGTTTAGAACCCTTATGGAATGATTGACTCTCAGAGGTGTCTTCCAGATATAGCTGGTCTTTATGTTTTGAGTCTCTAATGACTCTGAGGCAATCTCATTTTCATTATACCAGGAAGGACAACTGTTTAGATCAATCACAACACTTTAGCCCAAGTGATATAATCAGCAACACAACAGCATCAAGCACAGTTTAGAAAATGACAATTTGTGCTAGTTATTAATCTATCATCTTTAACTGTGTGAATTAAATCAAAATCGAGGACCAGCCAAAAATATGTTTATAGTAAATAAACTCTTCAATATAGCAAGTTTACCCTTCAGGATGGGGACATAGAAGGAGTTGGAGAGGGAGGGATAGATAAGTAGAAGGATAGGGAAAAGTTAGAAGTGAGGCCAGAGGACACAGGAAGATCGTGCAAACTCTAGGAAACTGTTCAAGATAAGAGGAAAGGACAGAATTAAAGAACAAAGACAAGAACAGCACAATCTAACAGCAATAGGGAAGCAAGAAACTGTATTCACTGTCCTTTAAAACTAATGATAATCCAGAGAGAAGAAAAGCAAAAGAGAGAAGAAATATGAATTAGGGCAAGAACAGGAATAAAAAAGGAGATGAAGAACAATGTGGGAGAATGAGAGTGAGAGAGAAAGAGAAAGAAAAGAAAAAGAAGAAAAAAAATTTAAAATACTAGAAAAAAATAAAAATAATTTTGAAAACAAAAAATAAAAATGAAGGGCCCCCTTCAGGGTATGTCTCTGCTGTCACAATAGACAATGTGGGCAGCAGTGTGCGATCTAAGTCAATGAATTTCAAGCCAGCAGCAGATCCCTGAGATTCAGGCTGATTCCTGGCTGCAAGGCCCAAGCTGAGCTCCCGGACTTCCTGCTGGGTTGAACTCTGCAAGGTTCTGCTGCAGGTTCCAGCTGCCCTTCCCCTGAAGATAGTCCAGGTTTCGATGAGAGGTGGTGATCCTTCCAACTTACCAACCACAGTGGTCTTGTGTGCCTTTATGGCAGAGATTCTCTTCACTTTTCCAGTGGGCTTCAATTTTCATCAAGGAACCAAGAAAGGCCCTCTCTCTGTTGTTCACTGTTGCTCTATCTTCTGGAGCTCAGGACAATGGCCTTTATGACCCACTGTACCTCTTCAGTGTGAATCCAGGTACCAGCACAGCCAGGAGGCCAAAAGTGACAAGGTGGGGTGGGGGGTGGGGTTGCTGGGGTGGTGCTGCAAGATGTCTGCACAGCTCTGCTGGCCACTGGGAGGCCAGGGTAGGGGGTGCGGTGGGCAGCAGCTCCCAGCAGAATGATTTTTAAAGTTTTGAGTTTGACCAAAAAGCAAGCTTTGATAAAGATGGGTCCTTAAAGGGGACATTTTGGTTACTGAAAAGATTAGCATTAAAAAGCCAAGCACTTTGGAATGGGATAATAGAAAAGATGGCCTGAGAGCATCAGGAGAACCAGCAGGTCTCTACCTTTTGCAGCTTCAAAACTGCAAAAGTGAAAGACTTTGCTTTGAGAAGAGAGTCCCAGGGCACAATGCTCTCCAGACCCCAGAACACTGGAGAAGCCAGGAACGTGAATTGTCTGAGGAAAGTCACAAGAAGTAAAAAAAAAAAAAAAGCCAGGCCAAGACAGAAACCATGAGGGCTACAACCACCAGCACATTGCTGTAGGGGCAGGGCCAGCCATGTCCTTTGGAGTTCACATCTTGCCACAGATTGCCCCAGGCACTGGTCGTGGAACTGTGGGATTTAATATTTGCCACACAGGATTTTGGTCTTGCTTTGGTCCCACTTCTTTCTATCCCCCAGTTTCTACCTTTCGGAATGGGAATGCTTATCTGGTGCTATTGTATGTTGGAAGCATCTATTTTTGTTTTGACAGTGTCTTGTAGCTAAGAGTTTGCCTTAAATCTAAGAGAAAACTTTGAACTTGGATTTTTCAGCAATGCTGAAACTGTTAACACTTTGGCAACTCTAAGAGATAGAATAAATGCATTTTGCATAGAATGCATGAGTCTTTTAAGGACCAGGGGCAGAATGCTATTGTTCATGTCTATATGTCTCTCCAAAGCTTCATGTGCTCATCGGTGGGGCATTGGGAGGTGACTGGGTCATGAGGATGTGTTAGGCCGCTGAAGAGTTTGTAGCTAATTATGATCGTGGGAGGTGAAGCCCAGTTGGAGGAGGTGGGTCAGTGGGGGTGTGGCCTGGTAGGATCCCTCCCTCCCTTCCACCTCCTTGATCACCCTGCTCCCCATCACCATCTCATGAGCTCTTACTCTTCTGCCAAGCTTCCTTTCTATGCTGCCATTCCTTGGAGCCAGGCCACTATAGACTGAAACCTCTACAAACAACCAAAAGAAACATTTTTCTCCTTCAAGTTGTGGGTGTCAGGTATTTTGTCTTAGTAATGAGAAAAGTGACTAAAACGCTTCCCTCGAGGGATCCCCAGAAATCCTACGCATGGATTTGGGGGAATTCAAGCTCATTTCTTCTAGATCCCAGAGTACTGTGCAATTCCAGATAGCATCTGGGTCATACACACTGCCTGAAGCCCTGAGCTTCAATTAACAACTCGCCTATTTCTGTCTGATAATCTCATAGTGTTCAAGCCCAAGGCTAAATCAAAACCATAACTGAGACCTCATCCATCTGTCATCCAATGATTGCAGAGAATGAATAAGTAAAAGCTTAGTGGTTAGGGTTGTGGCTCAGTGGTACCGTGTTTGCTTAGAAAGCACAAGGTCCTAGGTTTTATTTCCAGCATT